AGTTACCCTGGGTCCACTGTGACCGCAGTATCTTCCACCCCCACGTCTCCCCCGCTGCCCCCGACGTCGCCCGGCCGTGGCGCACCTCGGTGCGGTCGCTGTACACGTAGTAGAGCACGTGCGTGAAGACCTCGGGGGAGATGCCTTGCAGGGTGACAACCGGGGGGTCCCCAGAGGCCGCGGGCTCCTCGTTCTCTCGGAAGTGGTCCTCCAGCAGGGCCCGGAAGTAGTCACTGCGGCCGCAGAAGAAGGCCTGGGGGAGGCCGGGCTCAGCGGGGGGCCGGGCAGGGGCAGGGGCTGGGGCAGGGCGGGTGACCGGGGGACAGGTACCTTGTGACACAGGAAGCTGCAGCCGGCCACGCGGAAGCAGACGTCTGGGCAGCTGTTGAAGCCGTCGGGGCAGGGGAAGGGCAGCTCCCCGAGGTCGCCCTGGGACACGGGAGAGGGACCCATCGGGCGCTCAGAAGGGCAGGGGTGGCCCCGGCGGGGAGCCCGGGGCGGGGCAGGGCCCCCTGCAGCGCGCTCACCCGCAGCTCGGGGGGCAGCGCGCAGTCGGCCAGCAGCGCCAGGTCCTCCCGGAGCCGGGGGTCGGCGGGCGGAGGCTCGATGGTCAACACCTTGACGCACGTGCCGGGCTTGGAGGCCACTGCGGAGCGAGACGCCATCAGGGCCAGGCCCACCCCGCGGCGCCACCCGGAGCCCTGCGCCCAGAGCGCCCCCTCCGCGACGCACCGAATTCCGACACCTTCTCGCACTTGGCCTCCAGGTCGCCCAGCAGGTCCCACAGCTGGCACTGCTTGGCCAGGCGCTCGCAGTCGCTGACGTGCTCCACTCCGACGTCCAAGCGGCCTGGGCGCGGGGCGGACCGATCAGGACCTGGAGGGGCCCTCGGCGACAGCCCGTGCGCCAAAGGTGCGCCCTAGGTGGTGGCCGGGCGCGGGACTGAAGGGAGGGGACAGCCACAGGTGGCCCAGCGGGCAGGCCCAGGCCACTGCCCACGCCCCACCCGAGAAGGTACCGTGGCACGGACGAAGGCCTACAGGTGCAAGGTCACCTGGCTGGCCAGCGAGGTGGCCCTCGCCCCGCCCACCGCACCTGAGCATGGAGTCACCTGTGTACAGGTACTGCAGCAGGGCTCCGAACGCCACCGGGTTGATCTGTGGGACACAGAGACCGCGGGGCAGGACGGTCAGGGGCAGCTGATCAACGATTAGCGCATGCGCGGCCGTTCCCGGGGCAGCTGATCAGCGATCAGCGCAAGCGCGGCCGTCCCGGGGCACCCGATCAGCGATCAGCGCATGCGCGGCCGTTGGGGCAGCCGATCAGCGCATGCGCGGCCGTTCAGGCCCCTGGACACCCCCCCACCCCCGCCCTCAACGGGGCGCACCAGAGGATGCCGCAGCGCCACGACGCTCCGGCCCTTCCACTTGGTGTCCAGCATGTTGGCGAAGTAGGCACTGCGCGCCCCCAGGACGCAGCGATGCGCGCGGAAGGACTTTCCGTGAATCACGAAGACCACGTCACTGTGGATGCCCTGCTCCAGGAGCCTGCGGACACCGGGCAACAGCGACACTCACTGGACGGCTCAGATCAGGGCGCCACGCAGAGTGTGCGCCCAACTGCGCATGCCCAGCGCATGCAAGCCCCGCCCTCTGCGCATCACCTGGTGCCCAGGGCCCAGCTCACCTCTGCAAGAAGTCATCATAGTAATCCCGGCGCCTGCAGGAGGCTGTGACCTGCTTGTAATCCCGCAGAGCCCGGCGGATGGGGTCGCTCAGTGCCCCATAGAGGCAGCGCTCGCCATCAAAGGTATTGGCCTCGCAGCGGGCTCCTAAGGACAGCAGGGCTCGGCCATCAGTGGGTTGGAGCCTGACGGAAATCTGAATCTCCCGCCCCTCCTGGTTACCTCTCCACCTGTACAACTCATAAGCCCTGACGCCCCCTTCCCAAGTTACCCTGGGTCCACT